GAAAGATGCAAATACATCAATGATTCAAACTCTTCTAGGGAGGATAAAAAAAAAAAATCTCAACTTACTTGAGCTTAGTCTTGGATTTACTTTTACTGCCTCCACCTCCAGAAACCACTCCCGGAGTCTTCGCCTTGGATTTCTTGTCTCCTCCGACCACCACTTTCCCTCCTCCCACACTTGGGCTTTTCTTCTTGCTCCCTCCACTGCCACCACCACCTCCTTTCTTTTTTGCTCCAGCAGCCCCTGCAACACACTCTATGTCTGCTGAGGTCTGTCCAGCAGGCAGTTCGTCCTGGTTGAGCACACGGGGGATGTTCCTTTCACCCCTGGCTTTGGCTCGTGCGATGGCCTCAGCAACAATGCGATTTGCTTTCTCCTGCTTGCACAGGGTTTCTACTTTCCGCACGGGCTCCTGTGCCTTCACCAAACGCACACCGGAAGACGCAGCTGTAGTGGTGGTGCAGGACGCAGAGCCACCAGCTGAGGTATTGATAACTTTAACCACAGAAACAGCTCCACCAGCACTGGAAACAGTGTTCGACTGCAGAGAAAATGTGATCTTTTATTTCAAGCACTGTATTTTGCTAGCATCTCAACAAAATGGTTGGAAAAAGAGTATCAGTTCTTATTCAGAATGGGTTCCATAAAAAAAGAAAATAAATTCCTCTAATAGGACTATGACTGAGTTACATAAAGCTACAACTAAGTACAGGACTTAAATCTGTCTAGTTACTGGCTGATTGTTCATATGACAACAAAATACATACATAATACATTTTGTCAGTAGTACTGCAAAGAAAGTATTTTAGTATTTTTTTAACGTATATTTTAATTATTTACATAATGCCAGTTATTACATTTATGCAGCAACAATGCAATCAAACAAGCTATTTATGCTTTAATTATTAAAAAATCATTCTTAAAACTTTTCTTTTAAAAGTCTGTGTAAATGTCCCTTTCGCAAGAAATTAATTCAACTTCCTCATTTGGCAATTGCATTTTCTTTAACCAAACCTTTTTACTTCAGGGTACTAAAAACAATGTTGACCCATTAAGGAATCAAAATCATGAGAAAAAAAACTGCATACATATAAAACATTTTTGAATAACTTTAAAATGAGACTTCATATTTTTAGAAAAAATAATAGCATGAAAGTACATCACAGTGGCATAAAACAGACGTGAGAAAATGTCCTACCTGTGGCTGCAGCAGTAGTTTAAGAGGTACTGCTAGTCTTTGTCCTCCTTGGCCTTGAGAAATCTGCACCACTTGAGGGCTGCCACCAATATTAGCTGCCCCAGAAACCAATTGAAACTGTTGCAAACACAGAAAAGAACTTCCCATCACCACCAAGTTACAAGGAAAAGCACATCTTCCAACACACACAACTTGTCCTTTAACTCACCTTGGCTCCCTGTTGGTTGGGCTGCTGTTGAACTTGCAGCTGAATGGTGAGCACTTTCGGCTGTGCACCCGTTTGACCCGCCTTAGCTTGGGCGAGAGCTGCCAGCTGGCCTCCCTGCAGGACCAACTTCCCTGGCAGAGAGCCCAACACCAGCCTGTGCTGCTGGCCCTGCTGGCCCACACCTGCAGCTGAGGTTCCCCCTAGGGACACCATACCAGTCTGGCCAGCTCCACCTTGCGAAGGCTGCTGTAGCACCAGAGTGATCCTCTTTGCTTCACCCTGAAAAGTTAAATAGCTATTAGGATTCTGAAAGCAAAAAAAAACAAGAGGAAACGCTATAAAGAGTGCAAAGACCAGTGTTACTACAGAATCATTTATATACTATTTATTTACTAATAACCCTGGCAGGGACTTACCTGCTGTGGCACCGCTGAAAGGGTGACACCTTGAGGTCGGACGGCCGCTGCTGTCGTTCCAGGGGATGTAGCGGTTGACGCTTGGGCCTGTGTTTGTACTGGGGTTTGTAATGCCATCTGCGTCTGAGGTTGCACCTGTGCCTGAATCTGTGCTGACTGTGATGGTGACTGCACCTGCGATTGGGTCTGAGGCATTGAGGTCAGTAACACCTGCTTCATCGGGCCATTTGAAGTCTGAACAAGTCTTTGCACTCCAGTGCCCACTTTGACCTGCCCCTGCCCAGGAGATGTGGCATTTAATACTGTCCCCCCAGAAACAACCGTCATCCCTGGCCTAAGAGGGGTCCCTGTCAGAACTCTAGAGAGAGTGAATTTACCTGGAGAGCCTGTGGCTCCTGTGACACCCTGCAGCACTTGAGTCTGACCCTGAGGGCCTTTCAGAATTACAATTTTTGGAGCAGACTGCCCTGCCGCCTGTTGCGTAACCGCAGCAATTTGCTGAGTGTGCAGCTGCTGGGTGGCGACTTGAGCCCCTGACACAGGTACTCCAAGGGGGGAGCTCAGCAGGACCGTTGCCGCCCCACTGCTGTTACTGGCCACCGAGAGAGAGGGCTGAACTGAAATCTGAGCTGGGTTAAGAGAGACTTCATGCGACATCTGGGTGGGCTGCTGTGTTGGAAGGGTCTGCAGTGGGACGGAAACAGGAGTTGCGACAGGTGTAGGAACTGTGACAACATCACTGAGCACAGGGACACCAAGATCCGGTGTGGGGTCCATAGGTGGGTCCACTTGGCCCAGTGCCAACTTTAGCGCCTCCTCAACTGGGTCTGAGGAGCCCTGGGAGAACGCATCCTCAGGCAGGGAATCCAAATTGAACAGTGGTGTGTCATCAAAGAGATCCATTATAGGGTCTGCCATATTGTTAAATAGTTTGTGAAAAAAAGCAAAGAATGTGTGATATCCAGTGTTGGTACAAAAACATCCAACAAGTCCGAAGAGATTCTGTAGGTATGCTGTTGAAGAAAGGAAGAGAGATAGAGATCAATCTTCATCAAGTTACTGGATTAAATTTATGCAGCAAACATTGAATGTGATAATTGGCCTTAATAATCAAAAGAATATAATACATTTTGAATATAAAAAATATCATATATTATTATTTTCCCACATTTATACATCATAACACTTCTAGCTTGTCAGTAATGCAATATACTGAATTCTGCAGTATGACAGGTAAACTTACCTGAAATGAATGATAAGGGAGCGAGGAACAGGAAAAGAGAGAGTCCACCGGTTTACCCTCCTTCACTCTCTCTCTTCCTCCCCTCTATCCTCTCCTACTCTCTGAGATTACTTTTAGCTTCTTTGGTAGGAGTAAACATCATCATCAACATTCCATCAATAAATGTGTGTATTGATGCTCTGGAGAAAACACAGGAGAGGAAAACAAATTAATTAAACCATTTACACTAAATAGTTGCAGCATCTTATGGAATATCAGTGCCATCACTTCACATGCTATCATGTCGGTCTGACTGATCTCTAATTACCATACTGTTGTTTTTAAAAGTCAAAGAGTGCAAATGAGTATTGTCTCTAATGTCATGTTCTTTAAAGTCAAACGCAGATCGCATAATTGATGTTTAGATAAAATATATCAATACGGTCTTCCTTGACTTGCCATCAATGTGGAACAACAGTCCTAAACCAGACACTCGACAAACCTCATCAATGTTCACAATGGCGATTCCTATTGCTATAAATGCTAAATATGTGCTCGATCATTTTGTTTTTGTCTGACGGCCGATTTAAGCTGTATCAGTGACCCTCCATCATTCATAATACACCTCACAGTCTCTCGTTCGGACTCTCAATCTCTCTCATCAACAAACCGGACCAAACCAAAGGCAACGTGCTACAAAAACCATAGCCCGACTACGAACAGACATGGACAAGGCCGCAAAGCTGTTTCGACTTGGCTAGGGCGTATTTTTAACTAAAATATGCCCTAATAACGCTGCCACCCACTGCCCCAACTTTCCCCGCAATAATTTCGGGGTGCTAAATTTACCTTTGCATCGACACACATGGCTTTCTCCGTCTCACAACACTGTACGATTACAGGAAACGGCCAGCGTAGAGCAGGAACTAACTTCTTGCCAGCGCTAGGTTGAACGTGCAGCCCCCATCTCATCTGCTATTTGCTGATTGGCCCATCATCAGAAGAGCTGTCAGAAGGTAAACATTCAATTGGTGGAACAAAATGTCTGTCATGCCAGTGTGCGGAATTACAGGGCGGGAGACATTAATGGGTATCGGTCGTATTGGGTAGTTTGGTTGAGGCTACACTAAATGCGGCCTACTTGTTATTACCGGGTTTGAGATGCTCGCTTGTTAGAATTTAAAATTTAAAATTTTAAAATTCTTAATGACTATTATTTAGGGGGAAAACAATGTCGTATAATTTTAAGAAATCGTATTTTTCCACATGTATCCAAATGTCCCAAGCTTGTGATGCTGAATGAATCATGAATACTCGCATGTTATTGTTTAGCATATCAATAATTTGTCTCAGATGGATAGAAAAATATGTAAAAAATTTAGTTGATGGGTTTAGGGCTGTTTTATCAGAGATATCAATCGATTTTAACATGAAAACACATTACAAATAAAGATAGCCTATTAAAATGCCACCACAAGACACTCAGATGATGTTAAAACACTTTCAATATTATTTGTATTATTCATTATTTTGATTAAAACAAAAATAATGCATTTATTAATTTACACTGCACTAAATTACACGTGTTTGGACAAATTAATAAATAACTTTCATCTATATAAATTATTTCAACTGATTAAATCTCAAACAGCAGGCTTTATGGGTGATGTAAAAACACTTTCAATGATGTTTAAATAATTAATTCTAGTGAATAGAACTAAAATTTATATGAAAAATAAATATTTATAACATGTGCTAGGACAAATTAATCAATAACTTTCATCTACATTATTTCACCTGGTTAAATCTCAAACAGCAGGCTTTATGGATGATGTACAAACACTTTCAATGATATTTAAATAATTAATTCTAGTGAATAGAACTAAAATTTATATGAAAATAAATATTTATAACATATGCTAGGACAAATTAATCAATAACTTTCATCTATTTCACCGGAAACAGCAGGCTTTATGGATGACATAAAATACTTTCAATGAAATTCAAATTATTAATTCTAGTGAATAGAACTAAAATTTATATGAAAAATAAATATTTATAACATGTGCTAGGACATCATAAATAACTTACATCCACAAACATACATTTTTAACACGTTTTTATCATAATTTCTTCTCTCTTTCTTTCCTTGTTTTGTATGTGAATAAGTGTGTCTTTAAACCAATGCAGTGTAAATTATTGATTGTGACAGCCCACCCTGCATAGTCCATAGGAGTCCAGCGTACACTTGCACTTCTGCTTGCCAAAAACTCCATCTGCCTTGCTCGACCAGTGCCACTGTAGTTCGTATCCGTTATCCATTATGCCTATGCTGTTATCTGCGACGATTCCTTGTAAACCATGCCAGCTCTGATGCTGAGAGCTATATTTACAAACAGCTGTTGTTACAGGTAACATGCCTCATTCAGAGAAGGAACACAGGTTGAGGACATATTTCACACAGAATGTGGATTTTTAATTAAGGGAGTCAATTTAATGAGATTTATCTTTATAATATACACACACAGCTCCATAAGCAGGCAAACATTAACATGAGCAACAACTATATTTTAATTATTCGTTTCATTAAAAGTGATTTTAGAAATGGAATTTTTCTAAAAAAAAATGTAAATACATAATTTCAAAAATATTATTAGGACAGTCACATTGTATCTTCCCCTAATGACTGTTTTCAGTTTAACCATATGAGCATATCATCTGAAATACATTATATATATAAAAAAAAAAAACATTAAAACTCATTTCAAACTCACTTTTTTTTTCAAATCCTCATCTCAATGATATTTAATTTGAATATTATTTTTATTATAATAATATTTCTAAACAATATAAATGATCCAAGATAAATAATATTTCATTTAGTTAACTTTCCATTTTATGCATTTTTCTCTGCTCTGACACCAGTTAAATGAAAGAGAAGAACAAACATGATCTTTTCTATGGCATTCATAAATCCTCAGAGAGCATGTCACCCTCTCTCTTTCTCGTCTCCCACCTCTTCTCTTTCCCACACGTAAGTCCTTCATAAGGGGAAGACCAGGAAGCCTGAAAAAGTAGAGTACTTCCAGCCTCCCATTAAGTTGCCCCTTTCTAGCTTGAGGTAAGCCTTGTCCCCTCGCTCCATGATCACAAGCCCTGCATTTGTGGCTGCCTCCCGTGTCACATCCTGGTCTCCAGCAAAGGCTGAGATCATCGCCCATCCATTCAACATCAAACTCACCTGTGAATGGAAAACACTGTCAATTCTTTGGATTAATTGCTCATCAAATACAGTTGCTATGTGTCTATACACCCTTAGGTTCCAGAAGGGGGTTTTCCCATCGAAGAACCATTTTGGTTCATCAAAGAACCTTTCAGTGAGCCTCTTTAAACAACAACAACAACAACAACAACAATTTCTCAGTGTGGAGAACGTTAGAATATAAAGTGAACCCCTTTTCTCTATAAAGGAATGGAAAGGTCTCATGGAACCATATGTGCCTATAAAGAACCTATATTTTAAAGAGTGAACATTTGTACCTGTATGGTTTGTCTGTTGTATGCCTTCACCACATGGAAATTGAAGCTGTACACCCCTCGTCTCGGAGCAAGGAAGACACTGCTTTCTTGGTCAAAATGACTGCCAACGTTCACCAAGATCTGACAAAAACTGACTGATTAAACAGAGCAAAAATACACGAGTGTATTTTTTTTATGTGAAAAGATTTCTAACCTGGTCAAAATAGATGATCATGGTGCGGTTGCTCATATCTGTGGGCTCATGGTTGGTTTGGCGTGTGGCAGAAAAGGCCACACGGCCGGTACCTGAACGCACAGACATCCCCAGCGCATTACCTGATGGTTCTGAGGAGGGTGTTGAGTCACAGACCACCAGGCATTTACCCTCCAGGACTATGGGCTCCGTGTCATTTTGCCCTCTGACCAGTAGAGGGCCGACTAGCAAAAGTAGAGCTAGTATTGGCATTGGCAGCCCAGAGCAAGGCAGCATTGTCTTGTTATAATTTCCTCGCAATATTTCAGATGAAATTACGTGCAAATGCTTCCTGCGATTTGGTCAGGTATGTCCTCCGCAGGGAACTGGGGAGAGATAAGTGAAGGATCCTGGAAACCCTGAGATGTTATGAGCTATTTTAAAAGTTATCTTTAAATCCTTGGCTGTGTTTTTCACCCTCACCCTTTCTCTCTATTTTGCAGTCACCCACTGTCTGTCACAGTTTCGTGATGAAGATCTGCTTCTGCGCTATCTTGTTAAATTGCCTGCAGGGGACCAAAGACAAGGACACTTAGAGGTTTCTTATCATCCCCCAAAAAGAATCCATCATCATAGCCAACCTGTGAGAAGAGAGAGGGGGAGTCAGAGGAGCTCTGCAAGCCAACAGGTAAGCTTGTGTGTATGGGGGAGGAGGAAGAGGAGCAGTGAATGATGAAGATCATGAGGTAACACTTTGGATCTCTTTCAGCTGAGGGGAGTATAGCGTCCAGGAGAGAGTGAGAACAAGAGAGAGAAAAAAGAACAACTCCACTGAGAGACCATCTGTCTTTAACACGCTCTCACTTCCCTCCTGACGTTCCACAACATGCAAGACCTCCCCCCCCCCCCCCCCCACACAGATCTTCTATCCCTCCCTCTTTTGCTTATGCATTTTAGCTGAACCCTATCTCTCTCCTCTGTGTTTTGGCATGCAACGGCAACAATATGCAAGTCCTGAAACCAAAGAATGCTCATTTTGGAATATTAAGGTATAGTACTATAGGTATCTATATCAGGTCTTAATTGGCTCCACTCACCTCATTAACTTATTATTCAAGACATGTTTATAATCTTTATGAAGCAGTGACATTTACAAAGGTCAACTTTCTTTGGTCTTGAGTGAAACCGCAGTGTTTGTGCACTTTCAATAAGAACTAATTCTCCTCAGTGCAGTGATGTCCTCTTTTACAAGCCAGCAGCTTTATTTTCCTCAGGGAACTTCACTCAATTCCCTTTAGAGTGCTAATCAAAAATAATTACTTTAACATTTTTGCCTTGTTTTCATGTAAAAATATCCAAATATCCTTATATCCTAATATATTTGAGAAGCAAAAGATGATAAAGATGATTTTTTTTTACATTTTTTTAAAAAGATGTCTTACTTTCTTAGCAAATAGTTTGTATTTGTTAAAGTATAAATCTAATAAAATATACTGAGGTTTGAGGTTTCAAGTCAACATAACCAGTCAGAATACATAAGAAAATATTTGTGTGTGTGTGTGTGTGTGAGACCTAAACTATCTTTTACTAAAGCCTCTTTCCTATGGAGTAACACACAATGAAATTAAGTTTTTCATAAGCTTTTGTAATAGGAAAAAATAGCAAAATCACCTGATTTAGTGGGCTGTTCCTCGGTTTCCCAGGTGTAATGATGCGAGGTGTCAAAGCTTCTGTAGAGAAACACTGAATCTGACAGATCTCCTTACTCATCCTGTCTCTCAAGACCCTCCCCTTCCCACCCACTCCACCAGCTTCACCTCGCTCTCTCTCCCTCTCTCACTTTCTAATAATCCCATCCATGCAATTATTCTTTGATGTAAACAGAATGGCCAAACTGGCATTTGTAGCTGTAAATGATAGCCAACAGTCAGCAGAAAGCATGACCAAAACAGGAACCATAACATGACCCAGTGTCCCACAAAACATGATTGATCCACTTGGATCTTGAACATCAAAGGGCACAAAGGTTAATATAATAAAAGAAAATATGGCATTAAAATAACAGAATAACTTTCATTTTATACAAGTAAACATTGTCATTTTTTTTATTTTTTGAAAATGTATCACAACAAATGAAACCAATGAATAAAATAAGAACGTGCGTAGATTTTGTTAAATTGAGCGTGCATTTTCAAAAACAAAGTATTTCATCATGGGTGCACTGCCTCATCCCAAAGCGTCATATACTGACGCTTTTGCCAACGCACATAGCACCCATGGGCCAGATGGCGCCTCCTAGTGGTCTAACCCAAACCTACCCCAGCCCAGACCTAAACCTATCATAACTGAAGCGTGCTATATTGACGCTAAAGAGTTGACGCATTGGCAAAAGCGTCAGCATATGACGCCTTGGGATGAGAATGCGGTTGATCATAGGGAAGGAAAATGGACACAATCACAAACCCTTCACTATTGATTGTGACGTAAAAGGCTGCCTACATGGAAAGATATAAGGTCATTTTAGGCATTTAAACCCCAAACACATTCTGCAACTGTGCGTGTGACGTAATTTTCTGGCAGCAGGAGGGTCCATGCACAGCCCAATTTTTGTGTCCGCGCGGACGGTGCGCATACAACTGCGCCAGTGCTGGGTAACTGATTACATGTAATCTGGATTATGTAATCACATTTCAAATATTTAGTAATTGTAATTTAGATTATATTACATTTGAAAATTTTAGATTAGATCAGATTACAGTTACTTTTTATGGATTACATGATGACTACATAGGCTGTTATTCAAACAATGGTATATTCATAATTTGTTGATTCTCCCCAATTCTTCTTTTTATCTTCTTTTAAACCCCCTGCAGTTCTTTCACTAACCCGTTTGAGAAACCCTGGCATAAAGTAATGATTAATGCATTTCATGTAGTAGTTGATAACAAAGAATGGAAAATATTTTCTCTCTCTTTGTTTTTTTTTTTGTATTTATGTAGTATCAATATGGTACACAATAATACCATTCATATATAAGTGATAAACTTGAACTTTAAACTAGCACTTGAAAACAACGTCCACTAGACGAACCGCTGAACAAATCTTTCTGCGCTCATGGAGAAATATATACTATACTAGAAGTAAATATTAGAGATTTATATATGTTGCTAATTTTGAATTGCTGTCAAATGGAGAAAGATGCAACGGATCTCCATTCCCCTTAAAATATGAGTGAAAACATGATGATGAAAAACCACAGTTATAAAAGATTAGACTAGGTTTTTTCAACATCAAGACTTTAATTGTAAAAGAAAATGAAAAACTAAAACTTGGAAAAATGCAGTCTACCTTTTCAACTACCATGATATATCCATCAAGAAATAAACTCTTTATAAAATAAACAGTCCCCATCTTCACCCAAATTCGAGAGGTAAATGCAGTCATGTTTTCCTGAGGACGGTGACCCTGCTGTTCAGCTCTGGTTTGTAGAGGCCAAAGCCCAGGCAAACGGGCTGGGTGAAGCTGGTGCTGAAATTGTGCAAGGGGAGCAGGGTGGAAGCAGGTCCTACTTCTGAAAAGGTGATGGAGCCAGAATTATAGTCCAGAGCCACTGCCAAATGGTTGCCCGACATTTTTACGGAGAGTTGGGTTTTCTTTCGGTTATGCCAGGCAGCAAGTTTCCTGTCATGCTGCTGTGTCAGGCTCCAGGATATCTGAGCAAGATAACAGAAAATGAACTAACATTGACATTAGATGCTTATAAACAAGTTTAATGTGTATATAATTTGAATGAAAGTACATTTTCAGAGCAATAAAAATATAAAACCTAAATGTTACGTAAAAAAAATAATTATTAAAATGTGTTAAAAAAATAGACATTATTCAATCTGGTTTCAATCAACTGATCATATATAATGAGATTTAAAAATTGCATACAATTATCATGAATGAACATAAATTCATTTATATTTTAAGAAGGAGATCATCTTGGAGATCTACATATTCGGGGGTCTGTGGCATCAAAAAGTTTGAAAACCCCCGTTTTAGGGTCCTAATACACATAATATACCTTATTGCAGCCAAAGGCCGTGCCCTCTTTTGCTTTTCTCCCAATGCTGTGGTAAGTCACTGCTATATCCCAGAAACCCTCCACCTCCAGCTCCCAATAATGGGTTCCTGAAGAAAAAAATTGACAGGAGATCACCTGAGACCAGTGGTCGAAGCGGTCTTGATGCTCAGGGACAGGCAAACGTTTTTTCACCCTCATCACTGAGCGTAGGTCTTCAGAGATTTTTAGGAGTGGATGGGCTGAGTTTTTGTCCAAGGTTAATGGGCTGCTTACTAAATAACAAAGAGAAACAGGCATTAGACATGTAGCCACTAGATGGCACTAGTGAGCAAGGCGAATGAAGCAATAATGCTACTGTAAACTGTTACAACACACTGAAACAGACTGCTTAGGTTAGCTGGAATTAAATCATGGGGGCTTCATGGACTTGTATGAATGATAATACGCACAGAGATCTCTCTTGAGCTCAATTAGGCAGTGCAGGGTATCAGATATGAATTCTCTGTATTTATTTTCCACATTCTCTAAAACATGTTTCTTATCCATGCTGGGCTGAGGCGGTGTGAACAGAGGGGAGTTGAGATCTGCCATCATCCTGCAAGAAAGAAGAAAGTGACTAATACAGACCCAGATTAAAATGCATGTTTGAGCTGTTTTAACTGAAAGCAACTCTAACATATCTTAAAGGGATACTCATTTTACAACTCCCCCAGAGTTAACAGTTGAGTTTTACCGTTTTTGAATCCATTCAGACCGATTTTCTGATATTTAGAAGAATGTCAGTAACCAGACAGTTTCTGGTCTCCATAGTAGGAAAAAAAAAAATACTATGGAAGTCAATGAGACCAGAAACGGTCTGGTTACTGACATTCTTTTAAATATCAGAAAATCGGCTGAATGAATTTGAGTACTGTAACTCGACTGTGTAACTTTGGGGGAGTTGTAAAATGAGCCTACTTCCAAAAAAAGTGGAGTATCCCTTTAAAATATGTCAGTGCCATTGTTTTGTCTCAAGATGCAGGTACCAGTGGTGTTTTTTTTTTTCCTAAGGCATGTATATAAAAGCTAAATGTCCTAAATGAACTAAGGCCTAATACTGGCTTAATCTAAACTCGGCTACACACACTTGCTCTATTTTTTTAAATTCAAAACTAACATAGAACTGCGTTCACAAATCACAAGTTATTTCTACGACACACTAAAACAATCACAGTTTATCTAAAGACTCACTGTGAATCCTCTGTCTGGTATGCCTGTGAAAAAGTACTGTATGAACAATTGGAAAAGTATCTCTCATTTTAGTCTCTTCTGAATGACATCTGTAAAGACCCTTTGTAGAGTAAGTGATATTATGATGCCATAACTAAGCCTGTGGATAAATTCAAAATTTAATAAGTCAATAAACGAATTAACTTATCGGTAACAAAGTTTTATAAAGGGCCTTACAATGTGCTCTTCAATGTCTTTTGTCATCTAATTTTTGATGGCTATGTATGCCATTCTCAGGGCCATTTGTTGACCATAAAAGATGATTAACAATAGCCCTATAATGAAAAAAATCTACACAAAATATGTAATACATAATGCAAAATACTTTTACTGTATTATTCTATTTATTATTTTAATGTAAAGGAATAAAATAGTTTAAAATGCATTTCATTAGACTTTGATGCATCTTTATTTGAAAAGAATGATGATAATACAAACATACAAAAATATTATATTGTTCTCAGCGTATGGTAAACGAGGGTTTATGCACATTTAACCTGGAATCATGTAAAAATCAAATAGGTGGAAAAAATGTAAATGGAGAGGACACTTTGGCTACTAATTTTAGTTGTCCTCCACATATCATCACCTTTATTATGATAAGCATGTCCTCATACCCAGATTAACAGGAAGGGGTCTCTCTCCTCCAGCAGGGAGCCGAGGAAGCGGTGGATGCTCTCAGTTTGGTTTAGATCTTCTCTCACCCTGCTGCAGTCTTCCTGCACCCTGCCCATGGCCTGCTGTCTCTCCTGCTCAGTGATGTTTATTACAGCCGACACTAGTCGTCCCACGCGAGTCTGCAGGGCTGAGCCCATCTGTAACACCTTAGAAACATCACTTACAGAGGAGTCCTCCTAAAATAAACACACATAATACATGCATTCGGCTATATGAAATTCTGACCTAATCATTATACTTCAGGATAGGGATAATTTGTTTATTTGATATGAGACGCTTGAACTTACAATGATTGACGCACAAGCATTTTGATGTTCTTGAAGCATAATTTCACCTTTCTTTACTTTCTCTTCTGCTCTCTCGAACAGGCTCTGTAATTTGACCTATAAATACCCAAGAAATCAACATGCGCTAGTGACAACAGGTTTTCAGCTTACTCAAACATCTAATGATACAAAATGTAAAAATAAAAATCTTTAAGCCATTCAAATGTTGACATATGTTTCTAAGATGCGATTATATATACAGTTACTCTTTATGGAAAGTTTGTGAACCCTGTTTTGTTTGCAGATAATTTAATATAACTTTCCAAAAAGTCCAATGCAAACATTACTGCCACTCATTAATGACAGCGGTCACAGTTACACTCCTCCGTAGGCTAGACTGCCCCATTTAACAACGCTCTTCATGGCCTTTGAAGGATGCAGCCTCTGAATTGGGACACAGCTAGTGATAGCGGCTCACTGAGGCCTGCAAATTATTCACAATATCTCAAAATTCGAGTGAGTGAGAAACCTCCTATTAAGATGAGTTTTCGGTGATCCGATCACAATTGCTGAGCAAGAAATGCGTTTCAAATGAGTCTCCTGTGACCACTTTCTCTTATTTCATGACACTCTAGCCTACATCACCTATAATTAATGTAATATAATAATGTAGTATTATTCTTTTCATTTGAGTAGGGCATATGAAGTCATGGAAATGACTTTTTGAAGGGTGAGATGTCTAATTTTACAAAGGCAATGAACCACTGTAAAACAGAGAAACAGTCCCAGGACATTATTTAAAATCCTACAACAGGACTTTCTATTAAACAGCAATAGATCTAATAACTTACTTTGTATTCCTCCTCCACTTTTCTCACCCCTTTGACCTGGTGTTGAGCATGCCGTCCTTCCAGAATACAGTCTTGGCAGATATACTCCCGATCATCCATGCAATAATACCGGAATACCTCCTGATGGGTGGGGCACCTGCGGCGGGTTAGGTCCATCAATGGCTCCACCAACAGGTGAGTGCTGTAAGCAGGCCGTTGCAGATGTGGCTGCAGATGCTGCTCACACAGAGAGACCTCACATTGCAGGCAGGTCTTCACAGCTGCTTGAACCTCGTCACCCTCGCCTTCCGGACAACAGTCACACATAACCAGCCCCTGCTCCTCCTGGCATTGTGGGCATACAAATCTTCGCGTACCCCTCTGGCTCCAGGCCTCTTGCGCACAAGCCAGGCAAAAGCTGTGGCCGCAGGGAAAGGGTTGAGCTCGACTAAACAGGTCACGACACATGGGGCACGTGTGCTCCTCCTCCATGGAGCCCATTGCAGCTGTAAATTTGTGAAAAATTCATTTTAATAATAAATTAATTATGATAATTTACTGATTTTAATAGTGTCCACTTAAGTAGAAGCAAAGTCAAATCATGGCACCCGGATTTATACAGAGCCATTTGGCACAAACTAATTACTGTAGCTTACTATTTAGTTAATCTGCCTCCTGATCAACTATTTTTAGAAAGCTTTTCTATTTGACTAGCAGACAAATTAGTTAATCTCATATGAATTTCTATTAAAGTCATTAAGATATAAAAGGTGTTTTTTTGTCTATTTTGTAGGGCTGTGCAAAAAATTAATTGCGATTAATCGCATCCAAAATAAAAGTCTGTGTTTACATAATATATTTGTGTGTGCTGTATAATTATTTTGTATATATAAATACACACACATGCATGTATATATTTAAGAAAATGTGTTATTCATATATAAAATATTTATATTTATATAATATGGATTATGTATTTTTATATATATATACAGAATTTAAGCGCAAATAATTCTTAACTATATACATGCATGCATAGGTACAAAATAATTATATACAGCACACACAAATATATTATGGAAACACAGACTTTTATTTTGGATGCAATTAATCGCAATTAAATTTTTCACATCCCTACTATTTTGTTAATATGCTGAGACAACGTTAAGTCATTTTTTAGGTTTATTCCTCAAAAAGTGTAAACACTGGCTCTATCAGAACAATGTGGCTTTTTTGAGTATCCCAACGTTCAGGATGAGATTAGTTTGAAGAGCAATGGAAGAGTGTTCGAAAACTGTTTGAAATCGGTGATTCATTTTGCAATTTGGTTTCGCTGAGGGCACAGAAATGCAGAAATGACACTTCACCTTTGATTTATAACAAAGCTGCCCTATTTCACCCTAAAGGTTTCTCTGCAGACAACACCCGATCCAACTGGGGAATCAAGAGATCAACTACTCAGTGGCACTCTGACCTGAATTAGTTAGTTACAATTACATGGTTAGCATTATAACCTATAAAAACTGAGGGGGAAAAAAAACAACTTACCCTTTGTGTCCTTCAGCCTTTTGTGAAAGCAGGAAGTTTTCATACAGAAGCACAGCCGAAATGTACATGTAAGAGCCGGCTTATCCTGCAGTGTCTTCTTAACCAGACTGACTGACCTCTCAACACAGAGAACAGCTAAGCCATCACATGACCTGTTCTTTACAGAAGCAATATGGGGGATTTGTGAGGAAAATAAATTCAAGCAAATAAATGTCACCTGGTGACTGTTTAATCAACACTGATATCTATGTAGAATAAATTTAAGATTTAGTACAATAAAGTATTCTCTTATTAATTAGCTGTTTTAATACACAACACAAGTTACTGAAGACACAAACAAGCAATACATTAAAGTGCTAACAGTGAATTAATGTGTAGATTGGAAGCGCTACTTGTGACAGAGGTTATTTTTTGATCAAAGTCTCTGTATCTAATTATATCAGAATTACATTTGGTGCATAGATTTGGTGACCTACAGTACTCCTTAAAAGTCATTATATAAACAATGATAAATGGACACAAAGCCTTTTAAATTCAGCAGTGCTCTGACCAAACCAATCCAGTCTTACAGTGTGCATTTGTGTGCTCAACCTTGACCTTATCGGAATATCGGATCCTAACCCTATACCTGACTTACATAGGACCTTAAACTGACTTACATAGGGCCTTACATAGGGTCTTTTTGTTTTGTTTTCAAAAGGCTTTTTCAAAGCGTTTTATACATTTCAATACAGGCAGTTCAATTTAGACACATTTAGAAAAAAAATGAAGAGTTCAGATGCAAAAGCCTCTAAATGCCATTTGAAATTTTCTCCTAGAATGATCATTTTTATCAAGCCTGTATATTTAAGTTCAGTAATTTCACTTAAATGACAATTAATAGGTAATATTCATTGCAATTTAAGTGAAATTACTGAACTTAAATTACAGGCTTGATAAAAATGATCATTTTAGAAGAAAATTTCAAATGGCACTTAGAGGCTTTTGCATCTGAACTCTTCAAATATAGGTCAGAGAATGCTTGTAAATATCTTTGTCTTTTGCAAAGCACCATTTTAATCAAGAAGCTGAAAAACCAGTTTATCAAGTGCAGAAACCTTTACTGTCTACGGCAGAAATGCATTTAGTACATTCACAAGAACAGACAGAAAATGCTTGAAGATTCATTATTTTTAATGTACACTGTGAACTAAGAAAAGCATAAATTAAAAGTGAGCAAAAAAGAGAGACAGAAAGAACATATTGAAGCAAACTTCAAACTGTCTATGACGCACAATGGAGGCAGGAGAGGATCGTCATGAGTCATGACAGTTAAAAAAGGGTAAAAAAAAAAGTTTGACATGAACCCTATATTAATTTTAGTGAGTGGATGATCTGACACAAAAGTCTTCAAAATAATATAACAACATAATTATTGTGATTGAAAACCTAGTGTGTATGTGATTTTGTAGAGTGCTGGAAATTTATATGATTTGATCTTTCATTATTCATATTCAAAACTGTCATGGAACATGGACATGAACTTGCGTGAGATTGTATTCTGCAAAATACAAACTTATTTATTTGCATAATGTCTATAATGATTGTGTTTCTACAACCATCATGGTACACATTGTAAAGTGCCATATGTAAACTAAAAACTTCTTGTAAACATAATACTAGATCATGTGTGTTTTATGCATTCAATTTTGTTGTCCTGATGTATCTGTATCTGCTTTAATTTATATAACAAACTGCTTTGAATAACCTTGAGTGAGTGAATGTGTTTACCCGTGCACATATGTTGGGTACAATGGAGTTAAAGATGGTTGATTAACCAGAACAGTAAACCACTAATAGAGATGTATCTTACACAAGAACAAACAGAAAATAATTCTCAAGCCCTTTACTTTTTATAAGTATTTTATAGCATATGATATTTTACACATATATCACGTGTTAAGGTGATTCTATCAACTGCATTAAATGTAACTGAATAAAACAAAGCATTTTTAAATTTAAAAGAGTTTATTAAAGAAATTTCATTAATTAACAGTCACAATTTAATATGATGCCAGGCAAGTTTTATTTCTAAAAAAAATTAAAAAAATTAAAAAATTATAAAAAAATTCTTGAGCATTTTGACAGTCTAAAGCTTTTATAATTATTACAAATGTATTTTTGCTTTCTGATTCCTTCTAAATGTTTAGCCAGGCTGCATTCCTTGATTAAGAAATAATTGCTTAAAATTGTTTATAAAAAATCAAATCACTTGAGAGAAAAGGCTAAAGAAATTATTATTTGGTGTCTTTTTATTACTTTAAAGGGTCATTTATGTTTCAGTGACAAAAAAACAACTTTATATAGCACCATTTAGAAAAGATTGTACATCACAGCGAGAGATGGCGAAGAAAAAAATGCGAGAAAAGACAAGAAATATAAAGGCAGAAGACATCCAGATCTATTTTAAGCATTCACACACTAACAGCCTGCAACACATGCTGAGGATAAAAGGGGGCTCTGATGGTAAGTTTCTTTTCTTTAAATACATTATTTATTTATTTTTTACTGTGGATGGTCTGTCACAAAATCATAAAAAATATATAACCCAGTTCAGTTACTACAGCTTGATAATAGTAAAAGACAATCAGATATAATATGTTATGGGCATTTATATTCGTGGATAAGAATTTCTTATTTCCAATTTCAAAGTACCGGTAGGTTTCATTTGGTTGAAACTTGTAAGGATAAATATTATTTAATGGTCAAAGTGCACAATATGTATGTGCTATGTAAAGATCACGATAATGAGGGTGTAATTATGGACATTTTAGAATAAATAGCCTTTTAAAAAAAGTTACCAGCTTACAGACTTTTAAAGTCTATCATTTTGAACTGAAAGTTAAAATAACATCTTCATGTTTTCTTATGCAGGCTGTACAACACTTCCAGAGATAAAAGTCATCATAGGTAGTAAATTGGAATACAAATGCAAATGCTGAAAGTGAAAGACTGGAAAGTGGGCAAAGAAATAGTCGAGAGTGAGATGAAAAAGAGGATGGTTCAGAGGTCTGTTAGAAGAAGTTAATCAGATCTGCGATCTGGTCCGGAGAACAGTATTCTAAGCACACAAAAAAGAAGAAAAAAAAAACTTCAACTTATTTAATTTTTGAACAAATCAAATTTCTATGGTCAGCTGAAACTAAAAATACTTTGACACATCTAAAAAAAACTTGTTATTACATGACTAAATGACAAATTATCACAATCTGGATTAACTGGATTTTAAAAATATTTTTTAAATAAAAAAAGAAATAAAAACAAAACAATATTGTAAATTAAACAATTTATTTTCTTCCAGATGCCAAAGTCGGTTGTTGTGATTAGTCTACTGTTTACAGTGCTTGTTGGAGCTAAACGCCCATTAACATAACTGAATTTAGGCTTCCTCAGTCCTCAGCAATGGACCTATGGCTAAGCCACGGCCCGTCCACTCACTCGGACACAATTTATAATAATAGACAAAATTTTATTTTAAATTTAATTAACTATTTCTGATGACAGTGAAACCGGTAAGCCGGTGATATGCACAATATCAAACTGTTTGGGATTTGAATTCCTGACGACTCATGTAGTCAATTCCAACGCAGTGTGACTACTGTCTTGGGAGACAATAACTTTATTTATTGTGCAATTGTGACTTTACAACCTTGCAGACTGTTAACATTCACAGACATATTGTACAGTGCATGAAAGGGAATATTCAGGCATTTCTCACATTTGTCAGTCAGTCACTCACATTTGGACAAATTGATTTGCATTGATATACAAGAATCAAGAATGCAAGGTCAACATTGTAAGCGTTTTGTAGAACACATGAGATAATAAAAGGATGAAATAAATAAATAAATAACCAAATATAGGCCAAAAAAATCTCCTGATATTCAAAAACATAATTTGTAGCTCTGTTGTTGTTTTTTCAGGGAATTGACACTCAGTGGATCCAAAAACTTTCAAGTGTGTATGAGGTTTTCTTTCATTTGCTTCTGTCAATCCACATTGGATATTCAAATTTTAATTGTCTACTTTTTAAAGGCTTGCTTTTTGAATTTTAATATGCTGATTTGTTGAAAACAGTGTACAATTTTGTAAAAATGTTTCCAGGATTCATTGATAAATAGAAAGTCCCAAAAGAACAACATTTAACTGAAACAGGAATTTTTGCAACATTATACGTGCCTTTACTATCACTTTATCAATTTAATGCATCCTTACTAAATAATATTATTAATTTCTTATTTTCTTTAAAACGCAGGAACAAAATCTTACTGACCCCAAACTTCTGAACAGTATAGACTGAATGTCAATGTTCAGAAATAATTATTATGTTTTGGATAAAACTTTATAGCTGTGTTTTTGGTATGTTCATTGCCAAACTCAAAAAAGTATACTTATTTTTAATTATTTGAAAATGTCCATTGTTTTATATAAAAAAGCCAATAATTGTTTTTTATTGCCTAAATGTTTTAGTTTGCCTTATACACTACCAGACAAAAGTTTTAGATCAGTAAGATTTTTTATGTTTTTAAATGAAGTCTCTCTGCTCACCAAGGCTGCTTTATTTGCTGAAAAAAAAAGACAAACAGTAATATTGTGAAATATTATGACAATTTAAAATGACTGTTTTCTATTTTAATATATTATAAAATGTAATTTGAAAGCTGAATTTTCAACATCATTACTTGGTGAGCAGAAGAAACTTCTTTTAAAAACATAAAAAATCTTACCGATCTAAAACTTTTGACCGGTGTAGGATTTTATTAGATCAGATAGGTAACATTTTAAACAGTAATAGGGTCGTGTAACAAAGTGCTCCTAACATGGGGTACTCTCAACAACAAATGGATTTACACAAACTGAGAAAGACAAAAAGTGTTGTGCCCTGCTCTCCTCTGGATTTCATGTTACTCATGGACTACAACCACTGTCCAACTCATCAAACACATAAATTCACATCATTGTGGTAGTTGTAGTCCTTTTTTTAGCAAATTGTTAGCAACGTAGCTACACAGTGTGACAGTAAACTGAAAAGTTGTATTCTCACACAGTAACTCTAACAACTCCAATATTATGGCTAACACATGTTACGTTACAATTCAACGCGAACAACAACGGGACACCATTCTCATATAAAATGCATTCCCTCCCCCCCATAATAGCCTAAGAATTATTACTAGATTACATCATCTAAAAAAGAAAATGGTCACAGACCTCATGCAAACGTAAAGGCCTCGCACTTTAGGCAGTTAAAAGTCAAACATGATTCGTAATGGCTGGTTAATTACTCTGCGGAGATCAGTGTCCGGATTGGACCGACAGACTCACAGACAGACACCCGTCGATGCTGCAGCGCTAGTGTGCTCAACAAAGGCTCAGGCCGGGGAGAGGGCCATTTTTACCAAATACAAAGGAAGCAGAGCAGCGAGGGAGGGGAGGACTGTGGGAATGACAGGAATAGCGAAATATCACTTTACAAAATCGCAATGTGCCATCAAACCAAACACTGAACAATGGGTGAGAAGTGACCAGTCACGACTACAACAAAATACAGTGTAACGACAGTACAGCAAATAAATAATTTAGATGTCGAACTGCCTGCTGTCAAAGCCGACTGCGCATCACGGTGGCAAAATGCCGGAACAGCAATGATGATATTACGACCCAGACACTGTACGACGTAATCTAACCCAATTTCACAAACAGCCGAAAAAGATTATCGACTGCTGGTAAGTGTTTATACCATTTACAATCCGTAGACTCCAAATGTCAGTTACGTCAAAGTATTTCATGTAGTCATAAGAAATATGAATCATAATTGGTTATGATCATAGAGCGCGCCGGAGGACGCAACAGGTCGCGCGTACAGTAGAGCTGTACTTCCCGCGTGCATTTTGCTGACGTAATTATGACATTTGTACAAGAATTTTACGAGGTGGATGATAGCATTGAAATGCTAGCTAAACACTTTATTGTGTTTTGGCAATAATATTATTTTAATAATAACGTCTTGAGTTTTTATACAAATTACATTATTATATAAATGTAATATGTAAGGAATATGCGGTTAAAAAAAAAACATGCACATGAAATACATCATAATGTTAAGGAGGACAAGGATGTATTGTCTAAAATAAATTCCATGACATTGGATTATGCTCCTGAAATGGACTCACCAGAAAACATGACACATCTATATTAGCCTATAGACAATCAAAATTTAGATATAGTTTCAAATTCTATTATTTGGCTTCAATTTTAATTATAATGCCTTTGAGATGAGAATCTCTGCAGGTCCTTTTAAGTTCTAATGAAATTAATTCAGGCCTGTTGAATGCATTACATTAACGAGCAAAAGTTTACAGTCATGTTTGAGATTAATTAAAAAAGGCAATGAGAATATGACATTATAAAACAATATAACACTATTCATTAACTATGAATACATTTGGTCCCCTGCCATTTTTTTTGGCAACAAGTTACAAGATATCATACATTATACTGTTAGCCTTACATAATTTATCTAATTATTAAATTCTCAATACTGAAACTTAAAAAAATGTTTAGGGGAACGCCTTAAAACTTGGGGGTGTAAGAGAAAGGAGGGGTATATGCATGAGTAGGTGGTGTTCTGCGTTATTTGAATGCAAATGCAGAGAGAACAAGCCGAGACTGTGTTTGAGAGAGAAACAGGGAAAAGGAGGTGGAGAGATGTCTTTGGATTTTAGTTAGACACTGAATAGACACAGATTTAGTTTGCCAAGTGCTTAGTTCACTTTTGAGACGTTGCTTGCTCATGTATGCACTTGGCCTTCCGCCTTGTAGCTCTCTATATAAATGAAACATGGATTTTTGATTGTTTCTCAAGAACTAATGCAATGAGACTTACTGTTATTTAGTTTAAAGAGAAAGATTTTCAGTCTGATTCAACCCATGGGCCATTTAGCCATTGACTTTCCCCTGCATCATGTCACGCCGGAAACAGAAAAGACCTCAGCACTTTTTCAGACCTATCCACAACACTTCGTGGCTACTTCAACATGGTGAGAAATGTTTTACCGTTTAGTAAGAGAAGCTCAATTGTTTCTGCCAGCGAGCCATCTTGCAAATGCCATTCGAGATATTTGCTGTGACATTAATGGATTCATACGTTTAAAATATCTGATCTAGTTTTAAGAAAAGTCAATGAAGCAGAGTAAAAATAAAATGAAATGTCAGTAATATTTACATAAAAATAGATCCCAACAGCTTCCGTTGAATATCCAATTAGTACTTCATCTTTTTCTGACCCAAGCTAAGAATTTAGACCACCCACGATATTGTATGTAGCTAGTGAGAATGAGAAGACCAAATAGCAAAGCAAACCTAAAGGGAACAGAGATGTGCAATATGCTGAACTGCGTTTTGAAAAGGGAATTAGAAAAAGGTTGTGGAAAAAGGTGGGCAACATTGAAAAAGAAGGAGCCACTTGAGCGGGAATGGCATGAGACTTAATTGTCTCTGTGAGCCTTTGTGGTCGTGCAGTCAGGCATTAACTGCCAGGAAGTACGTGCATAAGAGTGTGTTGATCTGTGACTTAAATTCTAGAGTTCTTTAAGTACAGGAAACTCTCACTGCATCTCTGCCTAGTATGACTGTGTATGTATCACTATTTAAGTTTGGATTCATGCTATTATGTCCTCTGTAAATTCACATTGGTGTCTGGATATGGCTCCAACGCTAAAGGTCATTAATTTTAAGCAATCTAGTTGTTTTTAGTAGTTAACTATGGCTCGCTGACCTTTCAGGATTTGCTGGGTTAAGAGAGCAGATATATTTTTGTAAATATATATGGGATGTAATGGAATATATTCACTTACACAATTTAGAGGGTGGGTAGGTGGTTCAGTGAAGAGGTTTGGGAATTTTGTGGCGAGGTTCATTGTCCATGTTCATTGTTGCTGTGGAAACAAAGTTGGCTGTTAGCGGTGCTAAAAGCAATGTAAGCTGGTCAAGGGATGGGATTTCAGATGAGAGGGAGTGAGGGGATAGAGAGAGAGGAGAAGACAGCCATGTGCAAGACTGACTTAAAAATGAGTACAAAGTACAAATTGTGTTCATCATGCATTATGAGATATGATAACAGATACATTTTTTAATATTACAAGTTAAATGTTAAAAAAAGATTTATGATAACGGGAGTTCAAGTGGCACCGTAGGTCCCATTGATGGGAGCCTTGTTTAGAACAGCAATTCTACACTTTGGTTGGCATTTAATAGAAATACAGTGTTCCAGGTCAGCCAGAGGTATCCTCTTCTCCTCTTCCCTCCCCATATGCTATGTTTCCTTGGTGATGCTTGTGTAAACAGTGTGTAAAAACAATTTGGAAGCAATCAAGGTGACAACAAACTAAATAAAAGGAAAAGAACTAAAGATTCGAAATTGGGTTATGAGGTTCATAAGGCTAAAAACACTTGGGTTTGTCAGTTCACAAGTGCAATAACAACAATAATGTGGCAGACAACAAACAATAAACATGTAAAAACCTAGCGAGAATAAAATGAATTAAATTACTAAACTAATTGTGTAATTGAATTTATACAATCTATTTTCTGCTCACTGAATAACCTAATGACTGATTTAAAATAATTAATGTATTAAATTAATTACAATAATACATTTAGAATGATTAATCAATCAAATTGTACATTCTATTATAGGTATTGTAGGTCTTATTAGGTATTGTAGTGGCTACCTTAAACAGTTTCATGATTTGAAATGAATAGTGTATGAGTGCCTTTTCAACTATAATACATCAGTTATAATATATCAGTTTCCTGACCTGTTACCGTTTTATTCTAACTTTTTATTGGACTTGGATTTTAAACGTTGGACTAGACTACTATCTGTATGGCGTAAATTGTTGCATAAATAGTTTCTCTCTGATTTCTTAGAGGAGCAGTTGGCAGTGAAGTCCCTCACCTCTACTCTTGCAAAGAACTCTTCCTGCTCTTCCTCATACTCTACAATTCAAAGCTGCCAATCTACCTTAAACCCAAGTCCACCTGTTGAAAGGCTAACAACACCTTCTCTGACTAGACCAAGCCATTGTATCTTTCACATCCCCTGCCAGCCAATTCAATTTCCTTTAAACCTAACAGAGTCTTACCTTTCCCAAATTCCCGACATAGCATCCCATTCTACTAATCAGCCGATCACCACTACTGCACCAACCGTGCTCTCTACCCACAACATCACTCACTCACCCATGGCTTCTCCAAAGTTAGGCGTGTCAGCAACCACGACCTCTTCATCCTCCTCCATTGCTGCTTCTCTCTGTGTCCCTCCACATCCTGGAAGCCCCAATTCTGTGCCTCAGGGTCCCCCAAGTCCAGTTACACCCTCTTCCAGCCCAAGCTCAGTTCCTTCAGCCCCAGCATGTGCACCCGTCAGTATTGCTTTCATCTTGGAGGAGCTACGTGTGCTGCAGCAGAGGCAAATCCATCAAATGCAGATGACTGAGGAAATCTGTAGGCAAGTACTGAGGCTGGGAGGAGGATCCTGTGAAGTGGATTCAAAGCCATTCATACTTCCATCTCTGCCACAGCTTTGTTTAAAAGGTTCTGATAACAACCCCAGACCCTCCCGACCAAAGTCATCACCTCCCCCTACCTCTGTGGCTCCTCTTTTGGCCTGTTTCTCATCCCTGCTTCCACCTCAGACCACCTCCAAGTCCTCCAAACATTCCCACCCTCTCTTGAATGTCTTACGCCCCCATAAGGCACAGTATGATAGTGGGGTAGTTACTCCAGCAAACTTCACCAATCATACAAGTGCTGCCACATCCTCATCAATGCCCACACCTGCTGCCTCAAACTATCCACTCACACTTTCCCTGGGCATATCTTCTCAAAAACTATCCAACACCACAGCAGCCAGTGGAAACAGTAGTCTTACCTTCCCGAACCAATCTATATCAACAGCTGCTGTCCCTACTGCCCCCTCACAGGGTCCAAAACTCTCTGCTCAAGGAGGTACGCCTGTCTTGTCATCGGGGCGTATGCATCACGCATGCCGATTTTGTCGGAAGCTCTTCAGCAGCGACTCATCCCTGCAAATACACTTGCGTTCACACACAGGGGAGCGTCCTTACCAGTGCCCTGTATGTTTCAGTCGATTCACCACACGAGGGAACCTCAAGGTCCACTTCTTGCGCCACCGTGAGCAAAACCCTGAACTTTCTTTTTCATTGTTTCCCTGTTCACTTTTTGCATCTGTAACTGGTGGATCAATGGGAGGATCAGCACAAACTCAAACTGTCACCTCCAACAATACGAATGCTATTCAGAAGCTTCAGATCCAGCAAGAGGATGATCTGTGTGGTGACAGTCTTGAGGGCACTACTGCCTCAACACGCGCCACAACCTCATCTCTGCCTCCTAGTATTGATTTGGCTCTGCTGACCACAGCACACTCTCTCCTTCAGCTCAACCGTGCTGCTGCTGCTGCTGCAGCTGCTGCTGCCTCTACATCCACTACCTCCTCAATAACATCCTCATCTACATCCTCTCTGGCCTCCACCCTTCTTTCAGCTCCTGCCTCATCCACCGCCTCCATTGCTGGGGTATATAAAGGAGTGAAACAACAGCACTTTGATGAGAACACCCCACCTATACCTACTCTGCTGCCCCATTCTGCTTACTCACAGCTTGCCAACTTACCCAAAATCTTCTTCCCAGCATCTTCCACTCACCATCTTCCAGGCCATGGGTTTCTCAGGCAGACAACTCCAGCCGGATCATTTCTGCCGTCCCCGCAACAACAAATCACATCCCCATTCACAGCTTCATCCACGGCCCCTTCCATCTCAACTTCAACCTCGGACACATCAAAGCTGCAGAGACTGGTGGAAAAGTTAGAGAAAGAACCACACAGTCAGTCACACTGGGTTTCATCCATTGGGGAGACTTCTACCAGCAGCCATAGTGTAGCAGGTGCATTAAGCTATAGCAGCAGTGGTTTAATGAGCACAAGCACATTCAGTACAAATGTGGTCACCTCACTTCCGTCATCTACAATCCAAATACCATCATCCCTCTTCAGCAAGGAGTCACCTTACCTGGGACTTATGAACTCTGCTGGGACATTTGCCCCAAATCAGTGTAGTGTGTGCCTGCGGGTTTTAAGCTGCCCAAGAGCGTTGCGTTTGCACCAAGCTACCCATTTAGGTGAGCGACCCTTCCCCTGCAAGCTATGTGGTCGTTCCTTCTCAACTAAAGGAAGCCTGCGAGCACACCTTGCCACCCATCGAGCCCGCCCACCAAACAGTCGTGCCCAGAATTCTTGTCCCTTATGCCAACGGAAGTTTACCAATGCCCTTGTGCTGCAACATCATATCCGCATGCATTTAGGAGGACAGCTACCACCAGAGAACATGCCTGATACTTCAACAGAATGTGATATTTTGTCCCATCCCCAGTCTATTGAGCTGTCTGCTTCAGAGATAAGCCCTAGCACTATGGATGTTCAGTTATTACATTCTGATCTACAAACTGTATCAGATTCTAGACACACTGAATCCCTTGGTAACACTACTGGTCCCACAGTATGTCCCGCAACCTCCAGCTTACCTGCTTCACTTAGCTCAGGTCGTATACCACCTTTCGACCTAAGCCCTGACCCCTCCCTGAATCCAACCCCCATTCACCTCCAACATTCAGACCTGATCCCCCTGACCTCTCTCTCAGTATACCTTCTCCAGTTGAATCTGCAACCCTTGTCCCTCCTGCCACTCAGTCAGCATCAGCAACAACTGGTCCTTCTGCCACTAATGAACTATCTTTTGAACTTTCCAGCAACACTGCCACCTTGGAAGACAAAATTGTTTCATGCTCCTCTGCTCTAATGAAAGGCAGTCCACAAAGAGATGACTGTGAACTCAGTGAAAATACACCTCTCTCACCCATGTCTTGCTCTGGATCCAGATCAAATCTAGAGGATTTTCTTGGTATACAAGCTCATAATGCATCCAGGGATCCTCGTCCACATCCAACATCAACACCACCTTCTGTTCTCGCGCTGAGATCTGATAGTGTGTCTACTTATACTGTACGCCTAGATGAGCCTGACCAAAGCCTTGTCCAAACATCCAAATCAATCCACCAAGAGTTCCCTAAGGAAGAAAAGACTGAAGATATACATAAAACACCAAAGAATGGTCAAAGGACAACTCCAGATTTGAGTATTAATGCTGATATAGGGTCAGACACTGTGGACAAGACAAGTGAGGACGCAGCTGAGACTGAGAGGCCTGACATACATATGCAGAAGAAGGAAACTCACTCTAGTTCAACCTCAAAGGATAAAGTGGACCTTAAAGATACAACAGGAACTGAAATGGACAAAACAGAATCAACTGCATGCATATCACTGACTCCCAGTCTTCCACCTCCCATGCCAGAGAAAAAAATCTACCATTGTTCCGAATGTGGAAAAGAGTATGCAAGTCGCAGTGGACTCAAGGTGAGTGGTCTTTTGAATTCAGTAAGCTAAACAATGTGCCATTCAATGTGAATATTCAGTTTAACATGGTACAATGTCTTGCAATTTGAGCGATACATGAAAATAAAATACCATCTCTTACTATAATTTCTAGGGACATATGAAGCACCATGGAGGAGCTGTCAAGGCACCTCGAACTCCTGCAAGGACCAAGGGCCCAGAGAGAGTGTTGCATCATGAGCGGTCACAAACTCACCACCTTGCAACGTTCCTGCCACCAGGGCATCAATGAGTTTCTTAAACCAAGCCCTCCAAAAACATCAGCAAGCATCAGAGACCTCTCCACCAATCAGTCTAATAGCTGACAAGAAAAAGGAAATTATAAAGGATACTTATGATTGTTGACTGTTAACCAAAAAAAAAAAAGAAATAATAAAACAGCTCTTAATGCTACACATGTACACACAGTAATCACATTGAGGGTCCTAACTTGGTTTTAAAAAAAAATGTTCCCGATCTTTCATATTAAAATACCTGCATTGTGTATTTTAATATATGTAATAATGTCTAAATATATCTTATAGTACTTCCTTGAATATTATGTGATGTTCTTTTTGATGAATGTTAATTATTTTGTCTGTGCAAGGTTTTCATGATGGTTTTGTTTACTCTTCCAAAGTTAAGATCTGAAGGTAGCTAAGGATTTAAACAAAAGCTTTGGGTGAGAAACAGAGTAACATTTATAAAGCCAATGATGAAAATAGACTAGCCTAGTTCCTCTCTAAAAGTTATTGTATTGATGTACTATTTCTTTATTAACTCTGTAAGGATGGCAAACTTTGGAGTGCATTTCAAATTAAGAAGTATAAAATTCACTAAATACAGATTCTGAGAAAGTCTTTATTTGGACAAAGATCTTGTTAGACTATGTCGATACCTTGTTCCATTATGTTTTGGAGGGTCAGTCGTGCGCAAAATGGACTATTTTATCAACATTTGACCAAAAATTCAAGCTCGTCAATTTTCTTAATAAGATCAAATGTTTAAAAAGATATCCTTCTCAAAATGCTTAGCACAGACAGAACAGCTGGAGTCCAGAGGAAATGCATGTACAATTGTTTTCCTAGATCCAATCAGTGCTTTTGACAAGCTGATATTTAATACACGTCATAAAATCTACATTAAGCAAATTCACATAAAATATTGTTGACTTGTACTTAAACATTCTTTACTTGTACTAAATCATCAGGATTTTAGTTTTAAAAGTTGAAAAGCACCAAAACACCAAACTGTAAATATGACCTGCTGACAACCCATGTCCATTGTATCCATGTTTGTCCTGTCCAGCTGTACAGTACTAGACAATATACTGCTCTTAACACCAACTAGATTAAAGAGTCGGGAAAGATTGTTTAACATGCCTGTATGTTAGTCAGTGTAAACTCTTGTTACTTTAATATTGTCAGTGTAGTTATTGAAAAAGGTAGAATTTGACTAAATTCTGAGATGGACCACTATCTAGCTTAAAAGATAATCCTTTCTATATTTCTTGGTGGAAATGTTTGTTTCTATGGTGATGTTTGTTCTTTGTCTGGATACTTCTTCATGTATCTTCCATAGAAATGAATTGAGTGTATGAGTCTGACTGTGAGTTGTAATTTCATGGTACAGCTAAAAGATCAAAATGGAAATAAAAATCAGTGTATACACGACAATAACCAGAATATGGCATTATTTTTAATGTGCACACGTTTTTTAAGAGTATAAATAAATCTCGTTTACAGTGATGTTACTCTTCCTTGGTGGTCTGTGGGAAACAGTTTTCTTCACATATAGGCATCCCTAATCCGCTCACTCCCTAACACAATCAAACTCCTCTGCACTGCTTCTGTGTGTGCCACATCAAGCGCAGTGAGGGAGAAACTGGAGGAAGCGTTGACAATCTGTCTGAGCACTGGCCTCTAATCTCTTGCACCATGACAACCATGCAGAGGCACATAAGGCGGACAGGGGGGAAAGTGTATAGTCTACATGTTTGTTTGCAGGGGTATGTGTATTCTGCTGTGATGTATGGGTTTTAAAAGTGAGAACTATAAAAAGGCTTCAGAATTACAGTTACAAATGCAAAGTGGGTAACGTCGTGTATTCACTCACTATTCGTAAACACAAAGCTGGACTTTATTGCCGTAGTGGCATTTCAAATACAGTCTCCAAGGCCAACGCACTGAGAAGCAAAATATGGCATACTAAGCGCAAAAACTTGGACTTGAGGAATGGAAAAACTTATATGGCTTAATAAATAATCCTTTACTTTGTTACCTACTGAATGGATTTACTATAAGAGAAGGTCAAGGGTGGTTTCAACATGTATGGATGTGTGGAACACAAGATAGATGATAATGATAGACTGATAATGGCACATAGATATTCGTAAAAAGAACTTAAAGTTTCAGAAACACCATGATGAGTTCAAAACGCACATCATGTCTTAGTCAACATACCTTGACAATTTAACCATTTTATGAAAGTAAATTTTCACCTGCTCTTTCCACAAATCACTCAATATTGAAGCTCCTAAAAGTAAAAAAATAGGCACCTGATTGCACACTTGATACAGTATTTATATTTTTTTCTTTATCAATAAGCAACACGTAATGTCAGAATCCCACCAGTGGGCGGCAGTGTTAAACCTTGGCTTAGCTCAAGAAAGACCGAAGAAAGATATAAAATCGGTACAAACAAATAAAAGGGGTAGGCTACGTGCATCTAAGGCTGTTTAATCATACAATAATGGACTGTGGGAATTTGTCACAAATTAAAGAGCGTGGAAAATATACGCCATTGCTAACCTAATGAAAAAAAAATTAAATAGGCGATAAATTAATCATAATGTTCCCTTTCCTGTAAAGCTGAGTCAAATGAAATAAACATTGACCTATTTGTTTTTTCTATAATGATAGGGACTTTCCAATGACTTCCATACACTCATACTTCAGTTATGACTGTCAACACAAACAATACCATAAATTAGATTAAAGCAATGCCCTGGCATTATGCACATATTTTTCCATTCAATCATGCCCATGCTGTTTGCTTTCAAAATGTTTTGACCCGCCGCATTCAAGCAATATTATCACATAACACCAAACGAATGTCAAGCAAAACCATGAAAATTACAATGGTTTGGGATAAAAAAAAATTAAAAAAAGGAAAAAGGTTGAAGTATTTTCTTTGTCCACAAGGTCGAGCCAACCAAAGCGGTTGAAGTCAGCAAAGGCCATTAAGTTCGAGTTGGAGGGGAGCGGGATGGACTAATGTTGAGGAGGCAGGGCTTTGACTTTTCAGGATCAGTTTTTGGCAACACCTATCGAGTGACCACGTCTACAGCCCAGAGAAAGGGGCTGCTGTGCACATGAAACCGAAGATTTGATCCAACAACGCAATGAAAGAGAAATAAGACAAGAGATATTTACCAAGGATCATTGTTTATATTTACACTGCGTTCTCTCTATGAAATATTTCTATGCAGTGCATAAAACAATATGATTTTAGGGCTTAGAGTTCCAGTCAATGCGATGCAATAGCAATCTATAGCAGTAATTGTTTACATTTTGACAACCTTCAGTATTCTCCCCTCTCCTGGAGAAATTAACGTTCTCGTCGATTTCCTAACGTTAACGTTAGCCGGTTATTATTTTTTTTCTTTCTAAAGCGTGGTTATGTTTTGACAGTTACAAAGAGCAGCCAGTCTTTATTAACAGAAATAAACTTTTTTCAACAAAGGACTCATCGACTGAAGAATGATTTGGAGCGGGCTAACGGAGCTGTTGCTCCTAATATTTGTGTGCGCCCACAGATCGTCCTCAAAACAAGACATGAAACCGGAGGTGAGTATCCTGAATTATTGTCCAGACTTATTACAGATATTTACCACTGATAAGGCACCCAGATATTCTGCGGTGGCAAGTGTTTTACCTTGTGCTTGAAGATCACCAATGCATACTAGAAGCTGTGCAGCAGCATTGCTTAAATCCATAAAATAGTCTAATAAAACTCAAAAGGAAACACTTTTTAATCAAACATACCTCTAAAGTGGATAACACTTTAATTGGCAATTAATGTACAACACTACTATAATACATGCATGCACATGTGTGACCTTCATTGAAGTTGGTCAATGCTTAACAAACAGATTGTATGATATGAGACTCGTGCACATAATTTGGGAGACTTCACTTAAAAATTAAATTTCTGTCATCATTTACACCCTCAAGTTGTTGCAAACCTGTTTGATTTTCTTTCTTCTGAAAATAAGTTATTTTGAAGAATGTCCGTAATCAGACAGTTGATGGACCCCATTGACTATCATAGTAGGAATAAAATACTAAGTCAATGGGCTCCATCAACTGTCTGATTACCGACATTCTTCAAAAAATCTTCTTAAAAAAAGTGAACTATTTCTTTAAGGGCCCTTAATCATGTGAATCAGACAATACCTGTCAAGAACATATAGGGGTCATATTTCACTACAAAATCAGGAAATAAAGAAAGAAAGGCATGAAGAAAATGAAACATTTTTGCATTGTGGCATTAAACAAAATCTCAAGTTTTCTTTTCAGAAGCAAAAAAAAAATCTCATTCTCATTAAAGATGTGTATATATTCGTGTGCTTATGTATGCCGAGGTCTTATTTCACCCCTCTTATCTGATGTATGCTGCTTATTAAATTATTAATAATAAAAAGATTTAATTAGTCATTTTGAAAATCGTCCTTTCAAAATACACATTAAGACATTTGAGAGGGAACATGCTCAAGTGTCATGCAAATAATGCCATGATGCAAAACAACTCAATAGTCCTAAAATAGGCTTCAAAAAATATAATGTGACAGGTTTTCATTAGATTTATTTGAAATGAAATGAAAACGGTTTAATTTATAGATCCTTTTATACACACTAATTTCCTTTTAAAGTTATCATGTTGTTATTAACATTGTAAGGTTCTGAAATGAAATCTTTATATGGGAAAGATTTTATTAGCTTACAGTCAATAGCATTATTCAGTCACAGATGTTTAGATTTAAGTATGTCTGATCTCTCTGGCTGCTCAGTGATCAAAGTAAACACTTTGGAGTGGATGATTCTGAATTAAGGTCAAGTGAGAGACCACAGAGATTGAAAGATGCTGAGGATGCAAAAAAAGAACGACCAATTACCACAAGAAAACAGGAAGAAAAGTCCTGACTGTAATGTTGTGGTCAGAGGGTGGAAGGATATGCTGAGGATGAGATTGGGGGGAAAGGTTTTTTTCTGTTATGGATGACATCTGTCCTTGGTTATGGTCAAAAATGAGAGGAGGGGTTTATACAGGGTAGTAAACTTCATATGGACTCTTTTTTTCCTCCCGTTCTCCACTTTGGCTTACAGGAAGTCATCACAATCCTGCAGGAAGTTTTTCTAATTCCTTAAGGATATCCTTATGCTATAGACTCATGCACATCTGTGGTTTTAAACAACATTAGCATCTGTATATATCCACCTCCCTTTGTTGTTGAAATTCAGACTATGGTTATATATACTCCCACACTAACCACGGCATGTTATTTTTGTGATGCACTTCTCGTCATTGACAGCAATGGACAGGTCTTGGATAAGTCACCTGATGAGTGCTACTACATTTATGAAGAACTTTCAGGGAGTTTTGCATCATTGTACTTTATTTGGATGCGTATTTGGCAAATAATGGCTAGTCACATCCTTTATAGGACAAAACCAGAGGAAATTGCCAGGGGATTTTCCGTACGGCCTTGACCACACGGCTTTAGAACAGATGTACGATGATGCCAACAGTTAGAGACGTGGTGTCAAAGTATAAGGAAGGAAGTGGGATGAGGAAGGGGGTGGCATGTTACAGAAAAGAGACACAAAGAGATGGGAATAAAATGGGATTGATCTTTTCAGGCAGGAAATGTGGTGGGGTGCGTATGATGCAAGTCTGCATAAAGAATAGAAGTTATTGTGGGCTGAGAAGTGATGTCATTTCAGAAATGATAGAATAACAGAGAAATGAAAGACTGAATTGGACTACAAATTGTCCAGTTCCTGTCGCTTCAGGCCAAAAAATCCACAGAATATTGCAGTCAGAAAGAGTCAGAAAGGTCCCCTAATGTTCCTATTATGCACTTTCCATTTAAAAATAAATATATTTTTTATAACAGCCAAGTGCCCCAGGTGTAAAAAATTTGTTGTTATTATACAATTATAACTGGTAAATCTTCTTTTTTTTTTTCAACAGACCATCCATTCACCAGTATTCATAAAAAAATGAAAAATTAAAAATAAATAAATAAATAAATAAATTACCACTAAAGAATATAATTTATTCCAAGGGATTTAGGTGTATCACAGTGCACGAATTTGCATAGTTTGGATATTTTTTCGCAATAAGTAAACTTCACTTGTAAACTCGTGGTAGTGTAAACTCCAATGACATTAGCCATTTATTTTCTGGGATATTTCTGTTGATGTTAAGACATTGATACATTTACCCAGCTGTTGAGTTTCTATGGCGTAACCTGAGCAGCTGAACTACATTTTTATTATTTGGCTTCGTTGGATTTGGATTCACCACATGTTCACCCAGATTCTGTGTTATTCCATTGGCCCAGAGTAAATGGAAGTTGTGACTCATTTTCCCTTGAAATTGCATGTCTTTCTCAAGTCTCTCTGATTGTATTATGCATATGGGTGCAAACACAAAATGGTGCCTATTGCTCCTTTTATAAAAGGTATTGCATGCTGTCATACCCTGTAAAACGTTTTGAAAAGGTATTTTCTGGCATGTCGGGCAAAAATTAATGTTGACTGAAATTATTTAATACAATTTGCAAGCTATGACTACAAGCAGGACTGTTTCTGTATTCTCCATTGCATTGGAAGTGATTTATTAGACCCTCCTGGGGTGGTATTTGTTTTCTTTATAATTAATATAAAATTAGTAATTGAAAAAAATATGGATGGCTATGACAAGATCACCTCATAGAACCATGGGATGTCAGCTATTTCAAATGATAAAACATTTGCTACTTTGGATACTTACAAGTACACAACCCAACAGAGATCTTTACAAATAGCTTTCCCTAGTCTTGATTCTCAGTATAATGACATAATCATAGACCGGTCATCTTGTAAATCTGTTACCACCACTTTAGCATACCTCAGAAGTCGAGAATGGCATAGCAGTAATTCATATGAATATTATGTCCAAATTGTATTTATAACTTTAGGGAAGAATGAGTTAACTTTCCTGTAAAAATGTAATGCCTTTTTTTTTTTTTTCGTGGAAATGATTTATTCTTTGAGGAAGACAGCTAGTATTTGAAAACAGAGGTAGACTCTGCCGAGATGGGTTTGAGCTCCAATTTCGAACTTGTTTTTTAGGGAGTTGAAAGAAATGTTGCGGAACAGCAAGTAAATCACACATGATGTTTATCCCATTTCAGTTCACTACTACTTACATCTATCACAATCTCAGACATCCCCCACCAATCCATATCCCATGAACAGCCTTCCTTCCCTCATATGGATATAACACACTGAAGCTTTGTTTGCGCTTTGGAGGACTAAGAGCGAGTCACAGGCATCCAGATAAACTGCACTATTCACTGTCTGATGATAGAAAGGAATGGAGAAGCATTAAGAGGAAGTTAGGAAAAACCAGACGAGAAAAGATACTGAGACAACAGAAGGATGCAGGAACGGAGTAAATAGATGATTAAAAATAGAGGAAAATAAAGGAATAAAGAGTACAAGAAAACAGGATGTTCTTACAAAAAACTAAATTTCCAGGATTACATCAACTTGGAATACATTCTCTGAAGCATCTGACTGTGGACGTAATCGCATCTGCTGCCAAAACAAACACTCAAAAACACATTCAGCCAGAGAGCACCACAATAGACATAAAACATGCTGATCACGCTGAGGAACCTCTTTCTGTTGACACTTTACTCACAAAGACCACACAAGCAACGACAGACCAAATCATGTGATCCACATGTTTTTCTCTATATGACCTACAGCTGAATGAGGGTGTAGTGAGGCCCCATAGGGTGTGTCTACATTGTTGCCCTTCATTCCTGCTGTAGTGTGTGTGTGTGTGTTTGTGAGAGAGAGAAAGAGAGAGAGGTGGAGGAGGTAGGGAAAGGGGGATTACGGGATAAGTTCTCTGTCTCTGAGGTTTCAATGGTATTAACCAGAAATTCCCAGGGAAATTACTGACTGACAGTTTGGTTTAACTGGAGACAGTATCTTGTCTCCCCAAGGGAGAAAGATAACATTTCACCTTTCATCATCTCATCTATCATCCAATATTGCTACAAACAGAAATGCATTTCTGCTGTCTCAAAGGAAAGCAAGGTCATACATCAGTCTAGACACACACTTGATATATAGATTTGTTTAGAAGTATTTTTTAAGTGAATTTCTTTTTTTTCTTCTTCTATTTTAAGTGAAAGTTCTTGTTCTGTCAACTCAATTTCTAATTCACACTCACCAAAGCTATTTATTCAATGCACAGTAATATCAATTGTTAAGCTATATGCGTTATACTATATCAAAAAATCTTTTTCTTAATCAGTATTTTGTCTGGTTGTCCAGTAAAACAAGTTAGCATTTAATTGAGAATCAAAATTGCATAAAATAATAATAAACAAAACATATCTTGAATTTAGCTTAAGCTATTACAAATACGTTTTTTTTTTTGTTTTATAACGAATCTAGCAAAGTTTTGTTGGAATTGAGCAAGAGAAATAAAATTAAGATACACAGGTCAGTACGGCTTTTTAAAATGGTTCAGTCTTGCACACCAAGACTGAATTTATTTGATCAATTTATTTTTTAACTTGGTTTTTATATAATTTAATATATGGTTTTCTATTTTAATATATTTTATATAATGGCAAAGCTGAATTTTGAAATCATTACTTCAGTCTTTAGACATGATGCTTCTGATATGCTGATTTGGTGCTCAAGAAACATTAATAATTTTCAATATTAAAAACAGTTCTGCTGCTTTATATTTTTTATACACCTTTTTCAGGATTCTTAGGCCCTTGCTATTAAGATTAATTTTGGTTGATAGGATCCAAAGTGGACGATGCTAAATACAGGTGTAAAACGTTTTGAGCTTGTCCACTTTCAACCACTTCCAGAGGTAGTCGAAAAACGTACTAAGGACAATGTTCCCTAACCATTCCTGATTTTAAAACGCACTCACCGCGTTCGCTGTGGTCTTGTGGCTATCAGAGCAGAAACTAAAGCTGATGCTTTCCGTTTTTCTTTGTCTCCGGGCGCGTTCATATGTAAATTGCACAAGATTATTTTGTCCATTTGATCAAAAGATCTAAAAAAACAAAAACATACTTTTACGCGCCCATAGACCCTCACCTCGAAGAAATCGGGACAGAAGTGGTTGAAAGCGGACAAAATATGGATAAATATACCAGGTGTAAACGGGTGTGTCTGCCTCATCCACCAAAATGCATCTTAATACCAGGTGGAAACAGGGCCTTCAAAAGAACAGAATTTATTGGAAACAGATTTTTTTTATCATCACTTTTGATCAACATACTGACCCCAAAACTAACTTTGAATGGTAGTGTTCATTAAAAAAATAATAATGTCCTAAAATTTAACTATTTAATTTACTGTAAAACGAGAGAAAATAAGGATCAAGAAAATCATTTATACAGATACCTATAAAAAACTAACCAGGTGAAACTTTAGCAACTTTAGCAAGCTTAATGATGCAGTCATACAACAGATCTGCATGACAGTATGTCCTCATACGACATCGCTCTAATATCTATTCATATAGTTGTGAAATATTGTTCAGTAATGAATATTTTTGTCTCTCTTTCTGTCCCATTCTAGGCATGGCTACAGCAATATGGTTATTTGCCACCTGGTGATCTCCGCACACACACGGCCCGCTCTCCTCACTCCGTCTCCTCTGCCATTGCTGCCATGCAGAGATTCTATGGCCTGAAAATCACTGGCAGCATGGATCCTACTACTCTAGAGTAAGTCAGATGCCCACATGGTTGTGGAGACAGCATGAGTATATTGTATTTCTTAAAAATAAATAAAAAAATAATATATATATATTTTCCTGACAAAAAAATGGGTCTAGATGATGCATTATTTCCTACATTGGATCAGTGTCACATTTTCTGAACACCTGTGGCTAGTTCAGGAGATTCAAGAGCTTATGGATATCTCTGTGGAATTATTTTGGCCCATCAGTTATGCGCTTGTTAGTCATGGAAGGAGAGTATGGAAAACTAGAGAATTGTGTCAGCAATCCTCCACTGGTGTGCAATGAGGCACGGAAGATGTAGAATATACGAGGACGGAAATTAACGGCCGTCCTGTCCAAAATCACTGAAATTAAATCTGTTGTGCGGTGAATGATCTAATGTATTGGACTGTGATCGCCAGGGCAATGAAGAGGCCCCGCTGTGGCGTCCCAGACAAGTTCGGAGCCGAACTGAAAAGCAACCTGAGAAAGAAGCGCTACGCAATCCAGGGACTGAAATGGGACAAAAATGAGCTCACATTCTGGTAAGAGACAACCTTAACTCTATTCTGCTGGATCAATAAAGAAGAACTGCAGTCGTTTTAGGCGCAAAACTCTCGTCCAAGCCATTACCAATTAATTGGGGTTTGCTGTCATAAACGTTTAGATATGGCTGTGGCTATGCTTTAGTAAATACACACCACACTTATGGAAAAGTCATCTTTGGCCTTACTATACGATTCTGCTCCACTGCAGCCAGGGCCAAGATTCCTGTGTGACTTGTCTGTAATGTAAATCACTTTCTCTCCCCCTCTCCTTTCTATATTCCTGTTTTTCCTATGGCCTACTTTTCTCTGATTACCTCTCTCCAATTCTTCTTTCTTATCTCTTTCTCAGCATACAGAACTACACACCAAAAGTTGGTGAATACGAGACATTTGAGGCCATCAGAAAAGCCTTTAAAGTGTGGGAAAGCATTACCCCTTTGCGATTCCGAGAGATCCCTTACAGTGACATTAGAAACAAGGTTGAAGACTTTGCCGACATCATGCTCATCTTCGCTGATGGCTTTCATGGAGACCCCAGTCCGTTTGATGGTGAAGGAGGCTTCTTGGCTCATGCTTACTTCCCAGGCAATGGCATAGGAGGGGACACACACTTTGATGCAGCAGAACCTTGGACAATTGGCAATCGTGACCTGTTGGGTAAGCAAGCAGCAGCACCACCAGAAGTTTGGGAATACTCTCTTCACTCGTTTGTGTCAGTATGGATGGTGGTTCCTGTTTAGACATGCATAAATTAGTTGGTCAGCCTACTGGTTTGAATATTTGTGTTAGAAAGTGTAAGGCAAGTCCAAGCAAGTGTTGTTTGTGCGCACTTTTATTGAATTGATTTGAATCAGCCTTACCTTTTCATGAGAATGTTTGGAACGCCTCTATCGGAAAAGCTTTATTCATTCTTTGACGTTTCCCTGCTGTGGATTGAATGCCTAAAAACAAGCTTTGAAAGAAACAGAATAAGATCTCCCAGCAGTCATTCTGTGCTATCTATTCTTTGCGTCTTAAAATTGTTGTTTTTAATGTGCACTACACAATTATACTGAATGCTACTTAAGGTTAGCCAAATTTATCCTCAGCTGACATAGTTCTCTTACTTTCATTCAGGTAATGATGTGTTCCTGGTGGCTGTTCATGAACTGGGTCACGCCCTGGGATTGGAACATTCAAATGACCCATCGGCCATCATGGCTCCCTTCTACCAGTGGATGGACACAGAGAACTTTGAGCTTCCTGAAGACGACCGTAAAGGGATTCAGCAGCTTTATGGTAAAACAGTCAATATCTTCACAACTTTAATTGTTAAACCACACCATAGTTCTGTCAAGTCAGGGTTATTATCATTAACTGAAACGAATTAAACTGTTAAATAAAGTTAATTTTCATTGAAAACCAGGCTAAACTAAAATTAGAAGTGTTACCTCGGCAATTAACTGAAATGAGTTGTTTACATGACAACAGTGTAGCCTACTAAAATTACAAAAGTTTTTCCTTTGTGTTTTTCGCGTACAGACGACAACGTTGTCAATATGATCTCACACAGATGCACGAAAACGATAAAAAATGCTTCATTATTTATGCCAGGCCAGTAGTTGGCGATGTAACTTTGTAAAGAAATGCTACAAGCTTGCAGACTGAACACGTAATACGCATGTCTGTTTTCACAAATTTGCATTTTTGTACTTTACATAGAGAAATGGTATCAGTTTCAAAAACGTATGCTTAGAAACCAGTTTGAAAAGTTTGTTTTCAGTCCCCCAAATTGCCATTGTTGTGTATTAACAGCCAAAATGCAATTAACTTAAACTGAAATAAAAATACATTCAACCTAAATTGTAATTTTTAAAGCAATCATAAATAAATTATAATACACTAACAAAAAACACAATAACACATAATACAATTACAAAATATTATACAAATGAAAAATGAAAACTATTTTTTTTAATTTTATAAAAACTGCATGAATAAATGTAAATGCAAACAAGCTAATTAAGCACTGATTACTAATGAAACTAATGAAATGTAAATAACAGTGGAAAATACAGTGATGAATAGCAGCATTTTACTAAATATTTAGGATTAATTTATGACCTAATTCACTAAGCTGAAATTGTACTCTCTGCAGGACCAAACACGGGGGAATGGCCACGACCACGACCACCTGTCACCCCTCGGACCCCCCACCACACTCCATATCCCACACCATACAGGCCCGGGGGACCTGGCTTTGGACCTGACATCTGCGAGGGCCATTTTGACACCATTGGCATTTTCAGAGGAGAAATGTTTGTGTTTAAGGTACTAACAGAATATTTGTGTACATATCGGGTTGGAGATCATGCGGTATGTGTGTTCATCACAATTTCTGTACCTGTGTTCTAGGATAAGTGGTTCTGGCGCGTCCGTAATAATCGGGTTATGGAAAATTACCCTATGCCAATTGGACATTTCTGGAGAGGTCTGCCTATAGGTCTCAATGCTGCCTATGAAAGAGAGGATGGAAAATTTGTCTTCTTTAAAGGTATTAATAGTCTTCTATCATGATTTCAATGGAAAAAAAGGGGATTTGGCTTTAACAGGCCAGCTTATTTCTCCAGAAGTAATGTATTTTGTCATCTCTGGCTTGCAGGGGACAGGCATTGGGTGTTCACTGAGTCGAACTTGGAGTCAGGTTACCCGAAGACTCTGAGAGAAATGGGTAAGGGTCTTCCGAAGGACAAACTAGACGCAGCCCTCCTCTACACACCTAATGGCTACACCTACTTCTTCAGAGGAAACAAGTTAGTGGCTTTGATATCTAATTATATAGGGCATGAGTACAAAGGGAGCTTAGATCTGAAACCATTTCTTATCTTCAATCAGATATTATCGTTACAATGAAGACACGCAGTCAGTGGATCCAGATTACCCCAAACCTGTGAGCACATGGCAAGGCGTTCCAGATAACATAAAGGCTGCCTTCATGAGTCAAGATCAAAGTAAGTCTTTTGTCATCTTCTGCTTTAAAAAAAAAAAATCAACCTCCAGTCTAAGCGCTTGAGCTGTTTTAGCTTTCACTTCACAAACATTTCTAAAATTTGATTTATAATCTGCTTTTTTATTCTGACATGGTTGTTCTTTGTCAATTCTGTATAGGATACTGTCAACCAGACACACAGAATTCTGCATAAACCCAAGAAAATAAAATCCTCGTAACCTCTTACTATGTTCAAAACACACACAGCACGGTTCTAAGCAATTTGTCTGTCCATACAGAAAGCAAAAACACTGCGTAATGTAGTAAAATCACAGGCAATCAGAAGTTTTCTGTTTACTCTGATAATGTTACATAAGATTTCTATTTGAAGTAAATGCTGTTTTTTTAGTTTTTTATTTCTATTCATATTAGGAATCCTGAAAAAGCATGGTTTAAAAACAGTTGTACAGCTAAATATTTTTGTGGAAACTTTGACAATAATAATAAATGCTTCTTGAGCTCCAAATCAGCATATAGTGTGTATATATCCAAAAAAGGTATATATATATATATATATATATATATATATATATACACCTTTATATATATATATATATATATATATATATATACCTTTATATAAAATAGTATTTATCACATTTATCAGGACACAAGTTGTGTCCTTTGTCATTTCCTGACTCCCATCACTTCCTCTTTCCAAATATTTCCACACCCCTCTCTACTATCCTGTTTAGTACTAAAAAACCCCAAAAAACTTTAATTACTGTAGTTTTATTGAAAAAGTCAGGATGTAGGCTTTGGGCCAAATATCACTACTATTGTGTAGTCCTGACCTTTTCTCTCTTAAATTCACAGGTTACACCTACTTCTACAAAGCCAATAAGTACTGGAAGTTTAACAACCAGTTATTAAAAGTAGAGCCTGGATACCCCAAGTCGGCACTCAAAGATTGGATGGGCTGTCCTAATGAAGACTCCAGTGGCGGAGGAAGTGACCGTGATCGTGAGCGTGAAAGGGAACGGGAGCGTGAAAGGGAACGTGAACGTGAAAGGGAACGTGAACGTGACCGCACACATGAAGAAGACAAGACTGAGGAAGAGGGCAAAAAGGAGGAGACGGAGGTGATCATAATCGAGGTTGACGATGCAACCAACAGTGGGGGAGGAGCAGCTGCCGTGGTGGTGCCACTTATGTTGCTGGTAGGCGTGATCCTTACGCTCGGAGCACTTCTCTTCTTCCGCAGGTACGGCACACCGAGACGCCTGCTCTACTGCCAACGCTCCCTACTGGACAAGGTTTAAACGTTTAAGAAGGGATAATGGAAGAAAGGGAAGGGGAGGAAAGGAGAGAATTGAGAATATGGAAGAAGGAGACTTACTTGCAAAGCAAAACCAAAATGAGAAAAAAAGTAAAAAAAGAAAAGGTTTTGGTCAAAAAGGGACCCTTTGTTGTTTACTTTAGAAATGATGCCACTCAGACAAATCTCTGCATTTTTATATTTTGTAATTAGTGGTCTTGAACATTTTGCTTTCACACCTGTGCCGAGCTGTTCAAAGGCATTTGGTACTTGTCCCCCCACCCCGTGTCACATTCACTTCATCTCTCCCCTCTTCTCTCAATTTCTTTCTGTTCTTTCCCTTCTGGTGTAGAACATGACGCCAGCTCATCGCTGTTTGTTAAGCCTTTTGTAAAAGTCCTTTTAAAGTTATGATTGTTGTTGTGTGTCTGACTCATTGTGAATTCCTACCCACTGTCGAAAACAGAAATCAGAAGACTTTGTACTTATCTCAGGTTGCAGCCGATGCTTATCACATTTTGCATTCCATGCAACCATAATAACAAAAAAGTGCCGCTGCCAGGTACAGCCATGGTTTTTGGATGTGGTACCATGGTAAAGGGTCCTCACAGTGATGGAAAGTATATTAAACTTAAAATACTTTTGAAATATCATTAGGAAAAATGTCAATTTAGTTTTAAAGTTATACTCTAAATATAATAAAATGTAAAATGTAATTAAAAAAAAAACCTTCCAGGATAAGACTAGAAAAGTCAAAAAGTGCTTTAGTGCCATGATATGATATTCTCTATAGTACCATATAAATACCACAGTGCATGAATAAACAGTACTGCTTCCTTTTACAGTACAGTACTTACCTAGAAAGTACTGGCTAATATAAGGTAAGTACATGGGTTAGGGGTAGGTTCAGGGTTAGTACCTAGTTATTACCCAGTAATTGTAATTACTACAATAAGTACATAGTATGTACATGGGTAACAGGACTTTAAAAGGAAGCGTTACCGAATAAACTAATCATTCTGTACCATGGTATTACCATCTCTGAACCATGGGACCACCATAGTACTTGTGTAAGTGATTCCATGTGCACCAGATATCTTGAAACATTATCTGCATTGGCTCATGAAAGGTCATTCTTATAACTAAACCAACACAGGGTCTGTTCCCACCCCATGTAACTCCCAACTCAGGTTAAGAATCCAAAGTCATGTGCCTTTCCAAAGATAATTGATACTTATCCCACTAACAATGCCTGCAAAGCTGTGCTGTCTGTCTGTGTCCTTCAGTAGTATGGCTTTATATTGTACTGTATTTCAAATAATTACTATTATTGATAATGATGATGTCAGTATCATTATGATTATTACTATTGTTATTGTTCTCCGTGTCAAGAATGTGTTTTTTTTTATTTTTATTTTAACAATTGTCATTAAAAATGTCCTGCTGGACAGGCAATAATGTATGTCTTATGAAGTGGCCTTAATTTGGGGGAAAGTGAATGGGTGGGTTTGTATTTTTGAAATGAAATAAATTTTTAAATATGAAAATAACATTGTGTTTACAATTATTGATAAATTGTGGTGCTTTTTTTAAATTGGAATTTTAAAGCTGGATAAAAAAACAAAACAATAATGATAATAATATTTAAATGATGATGATCATTATCTAAAAATAAATTGTGCTTGTTTCAAACCTTTTTTTATGTTTAAGTCAAAAATAAAATATTTTGTAAGTTTTCTTTGCTGTCAGATTTTTCTTTTTTTTTATACTTTCTATGTTGTTTTAAAACATATGGCATAGTCAAAGCTGAATTCCTTACCCAAAAATAAAAATTCTCCTGTATGACTTTTTTTCCTCTGAGGAACACCGAGAATTTTGAGATTTTGAGAAATGTTTTTAAGTCAATGGTTACCAAAACATTCTTCAGAATAACATCTTTAGTGTTCCGCAGAGGAAAGAAAGTCAAACATGTTTGAATCAACATGAGGGTGAGTAAATGATGACAGAATTTTTTATTTTTGGGTGAACTGCGCCTTGGTAACATGTTTGTTTAGCCTACTCACTCTCCTGCACAACAGCGAGGGGAAGGGAAACGCATCTCTGTGTCCTAATCTCCAGCTGCTCCTCTTAACCTGCATCCGATTCCAAGACTTCTTGCCTTCCTCAGCCATATTTTCCGAACTGCTCTTTTACTTTAACTCCCTGTAAGAAACATATTTCGCATTAGCGCATCTCATTTTGCTCAAGTTATGATCACACAGAATAAGACAAACATCCTGCTTTTTCACACATACAATTTGATACCCCCACATTAGCTTATTTCTTTTGCATAGAACTACCTTTCTTCTCGTCATTTCAGTCCATACTTCTTTCTCCTCCCTTTTGCTGGCACTCGGAAACACTTGGCCATATAAATGGGATGGAAAAAGTAGGCTAGGTCCAAGGATTAAGCGAAACCAGGAATGATTATAATTCTGCAAACCCCTTTGGCACTGTTCACAAGGAAACATATCTCTGTTGTAATGCGAGCGTGTGCGTCTTTGGGAATAATTACACTTCCAGATACTGATTGAGGAAAAATCATCCATGTAAATCAGAGATGACACTCAATCCAATGTGTTAATGTACATTTTAGTGAAGACAGCCGTATGTATTTGCCGTTTGGAATAAGCGTCAGGAGATGGATGATGTTTTGGCACTCTGGGTCCAGTCACAAGGCTTTCAGGAGGCGGACGTTCGGAGGCCAACGATCAAGGAGAATTCCATCAACAACATCTGGAATCCAAACTGCTTTATTACCAGCACACTGCAGGAGAGAGAGAAAAACATGGCTTATCTGTGCTGCATACACTGTTGATGTAATACTAATGACCAATGATCTTGATCTTTTTTCAATCAGGCATGTCTAAACATAAATGTGCATTGCAATCTAATAAGATACCAAATGACAGGCCCACAAAGATGTATAATAAAGTATATTAGTGATGAATTGTTCCTAAAGGCACTGACTTGTGTATGTATTTCAGCCAGAGCGTATCTTGCTACACGAGTGCTCAATCTATTTCCCTCTGTGCACACATTTTAAGCAAGTTCAATCTTTTCCCAGCTGATTCTGCAGTACGAAAAACAACCTCAGCACTTTCTGCTCTGCCCACAGTTCCCTCCATTTCTCTCTCTCTCTCTTTTTCTCCAGGCGAGTAGAGTTGAGTTTCCTGCAGTTTCTGCTAAGTGACTCACTTTTTTCTTAAACAAGTCTTAACTGAAAACATTAGTATCACCACAAACATTTCAAGTCTCTCTCTTGAAATACATTCTCTCTTTTTTTGAAGGTCTCTAGGAGACTTGCCTACTCTTTGTGATCCATTTTACGTCTTCACGGTGCTCTGCTAGTTCGAATGAAGTCGGTCACATGCTATTTAACACCCTTACTTGACAGGTCGTGTCCACTTCTTGCAGAGAGAATTTCTCTTTCCAAGCCTAATGTGAAAAGACAGAATTTAAAGTGGGGGGAAACTTTCTTTTCATACAATAACCCTGAAATAATCTTTTATTTTTATTTTTTATTAAAGAGGTTAATGGTTAAATAGCCAAAGGGGCATCTTGGCTATTTTACCTCTTTAATGGAGAGAGAGAAAAAAGGGAAACAAAATTCTAATCTTTGCAGGGAAAACAAGTACAAAACCTGGACCACAATAGTGATTTTAAGGTTATCACGCTTACAACGATCTGTTAATGATGGAAGTAAAAGATTCTGATGTTACGGGTAAAAATGTGGAATAAATATTGGCCATGTGAATGTGATGATCCTAAATGCAAACACATGTTTTTCCACAGCCAGTAACTTTAAATCCTGTACAGGATGTAAATTAACATAAAAAATACTAGTCTTAATGAACACTACAGTTCAAAAGTTTGCGGTCAGTAAGATTTTTTTTAAAAAAATAATAAATTAAGACTTTTATTCAGAAAGGAAAGATTAAATTGATCAAAAGAGAGACATATATAATGCTGTTCTTCTGATATTTCTATTCAAATGTATCATGGTTTTCACAAAAAATAAGCGAACAACTGTTTTCAACATTGAGAAGAAATGTTTCTTGAGCACCAAATCATCAAATTAGAATGATTTCTGAAGGATCGTGTGACACTGAAGTCTGCTGAAAATACAACCGTCACCATACATTTCATTTTTAAATTATTAAAATAGAAGAAAAAAATAGTAATTATAAAATTCTGTCTTTTAATGTTTTTACTCTATTTTAAACAAGCAAATGCAGCCATGGATGTGAGCATAAGAGACTTCTATAAATAAATAAATAAATAAAAAACATAAAAAATTGTCTACCTAGAACATATTCCAGCTACCATCAATGCAAACACACCATATATGTTCTGTTACTAATCAAACACAATTACATCTCTTCTTGAGAGTTTGCATTTTCTTACATGCCAGTACAGAATAAATCTAGTTAGGGAATGCTGAGTGTGCTAGAAATGTGCATAAAAGAAGAGGCACCTGCATTAACGTGTTGAGCTATGGGAAACCTACCGTCTACACTTAAGACAGGGTGTGGTGTGAGTAATTATTTCCCGCTGTTCCAGACAGGAGAATGTGGGGGGGAAAAAAAAACAGGTTATAGGAAGTAAAACAATCAACATCTCTAAACTCATAGTGTTGGTTCTTTCCCTCCTTCTTTAAAAGGCAAACACTTCCAAACTGGGCAGGAAAAGACTCCCCACCAGGAGCTGCTGAATCAGTCTTTTACCCTCCCCCCACCCTACCTACACTACACTACAGCACCAAACCCTGCTAGCCTCACTCTGACCCAGTCACATCCTCCAGGAAACCCCCCAGCTCCAGTTCAGGCCTGCAACAGTTAACTGGACTCTTTCTTCACCTTATGACTTTAATGACTTGACTGCCACATCAGAAGCATGAGGTATATGTTTCCCTCCTTGTCTGCATTTAATATTTCCTCCCCCGTGCTCCCTCTATTCTCGTCAGGTTGACTTGCATTACATCCAGTCGCCCCTCCCCCAACACTAAACCACATATGGTTCTCATATATAAATCTATGTCATCAAAGTCGAACTTAAAGCAAAGGAAACGGATGAGAAACATGCACCAATACAAGAAGGTTTACATTGATTCTTTCGCGTGTTCGTGAAACGTCTGAAGAGCAGCGGTTTCCAGCTTTACGTGCTATAAGCAGAATTTTTGCATGAAGAATTCAAGGTTTTTACAGCTTGAACCAAGCGGCTTTGGGGGTAGTGAGAGAAAGAAAGGAGGTTAGAAAGAGTTCTAAGATGCCACATCAGAGGGGGGACTTGAAAAATGAGCCTTGTGGTTAGTTTCTCCAAATGCTGGACACAAAAGGCAGCGCGGAGTCTGCTGAAGATTGCTTAAAATCTGTTTACACTGCTCATTCATCAGCAGTTATCACAGGACTGACAGGATGTGGTACTGTAGCCTGATCTGAGGGCCAGGGCAGTGGGGGAGTGTGCTATCCTTACATTACCCGACCTGGACAAGATTTAGGACAAATTTTTTTTTTTGTTCAGGTTCAAAAGAAGTTACAGGGATATAGTTCACCCAAAAATTACAATTATGCCACTATTTATTCACTCTCATATCCTTTGCTCTTATTGCAGAAGTAAAAAAAATGGGTAGGGCATGGCATTTGGGTGAATGCCATGCCCTACAAACCTCCATTGTAAATGCATTACTGTAAACACAACTTTTACTAGTTTTTATACAATGAGAGACAAGCCAAAGTAAATCTCTGGTATTCGACTGTATGCCACATGCTGTCGACAGCTTGAACTGAACATGGAATATGTCCTATATATGATTTAACTGCCTTGTGGTTTGTGAATTACTGTACACCGCTGGACTGATAACCAAACCCACTTCTGAACTTATTTTGGCCAAAAACAACAACAACAAAAAAACAGATTCTTCAGAACTTCTGAAAAGAATGATGCAACAAGTGCTATCGTCTTGACACACACAACCTCCCTACAAAAATGAACTCTGGGAAATGGATTTCAAGTATGATACTTACTGTTCCTCAGTGACGTCAATGTATCATCAGTAGCTGCAGGTTTTAATTTAGTTTTGTCTGACATGTTTTTGGATGAAACTCATTGACTTCCATTATATGAATCACTGAGGACCACGGTTTCAGCAAAAAATCTTCTTTACTGTTCTACTGAAAAAAAGAAAAAGAAAAAAAAAGTCACCAACATCATGGACGGCCTGAGGTTAAATTAAAAGCAAATTTTTAAGTACAAAACGACTTAATCAAGAAATGTAACAACTGCAAAAGTAATTCATCTTACAGTATCTAGAGTACAAACTTACGAGAAGGAACTGTAGGTCACAGAAGTGGAGCGGGGCAGGGCTGTGTGTGGGCACGGGAGGGTCGACCCAGTTCAGCTGCCCTGTGCAGTTCATTGCATCAGGCCGGAAAAATGCTCCACTCAGCCACCAGGGCGCTAATTACAGAGGACCATTGCTGAGCTCGACAGGAAGGACGTCAAAGACGGA